CAGATATCCTGCCCTCTTACCTCTTGGTTAAACAGTGTCATCTTTCTGAAGATATAGGCAGTGTTCCCTTCTTCAGAGTGGCAGGTAACTTGGTAGCATCCATAAGATGAACTGCCTGTGGGTTCTGGCCAATATTGGTGACATTTAACCTAATATTGATACAAATAAATAAATAATAAATAAATAAAATAATATGCATATGGATTCAAGCTGTTTAAAAATGTTTTAGTTTTTAATAAATTTCAAACTTACGGAAAAGTTACAAGAATAATTTAATGAAATTCATCTAGATCTGCCAACTAGTGTTTTTCTCTTCCTTTGTTTTTTTTTTTGAGATGGAGTTTCATTCTTTTTGCCCAGGCTGCAGTGCAATGGCACAATCTTGGCTCACTGCAACCTCCACCTCCTGGGTTCAAGTGATTCTCCTCCCTCAGCCTCCCAAGTAGCTGGGATTACAGGTATGTGAGACCACATCCAGCTATTTTTGTATTTTTAGTAGGGACGAGGTTTCACCATATTGGTCAGGCTGGTCTCGAACTTGTGACCTCAGGTGATCTGCCCGCCTCAGCCTCCCAAAGCAGTGGGATTACAGGCATGAGCCACTGCGCCCAGCTGACATTTTTTTTGTTGTCACTTTTTTCCCTTTGTAATAATAAGTATTCTGGCTATATTTTGAGACTGCAAATATCCTCATTAAATCTTAACATTTTTAAAAACAGCTGTAATGACATAATTCGTATACCATACCACTCACTCATTTATTGCATACAATAGTTTTTAGTATATTCACAGAACTGTGCGAACACCACCACAATTACTTTTAGAACATTCCCATTACACCCAAAATAAACCCTATACCAATTAGTAGTTACTGTTCATACCCCCTCATCCGTTCCCCTTATCTCACCTCAGATCTAGACCACCATAATCTACTTTATGTCCCTACAAAGTTGCCTATCCTGGATATTTCATAAAAATGGAATCATTCAATATGTGATCTTTTTGACCTCTTTCACTATGCTAAGTATTTTCCAGTTTACCCATGCTGTAGTCTGTATCACTACTTTATTCCTTTATATTGCTAAATAATATTCAACCTTAAGACTATACCACATTTTATTTCATATATTTGAGTTGTTTCTACATTTTGGCTATTATAAATGCTGCTGCTATGAATGCTCATGTACAAATTTTTGTGTGGACAGAGCTTTTCAACTCTTTTGGATCTAGGAATGAAATTAATAAGTTATGCCAACTTGACGTTTAACTTTTTGAGGAACTACAAGACTGTTTTCCAAAATGATTTTATAAACCCCCCAGCAGTGTAGGAGGGTTCTGATTTATCCATATCATCCCTAGCACTTTTTATTGGTACTTTTTATTTTAGCCATCCTTGTGAATATAAAGTCTCACTAAGGTTTTGATCTGCACTCCCTGATGATAATGATGTTAAGCATCTTTTCTTGTGCTTCTTAGTGATTTGTATACCTTCTTTGGAGAACTATTAAGATTCGTTGCCCATTTTTAAATTCCATTATTTATAATTTTACTGTTGAGTTGTAAAGAGCTCTGTACATACTTTAGATATAAGTCCCTTAACAGATGTATATTAATCCCTTTAAATAATAACAATGACAGTTGTGGCTAATACTTATGTCACATCTATTTATGTGTTAGGCACAGTTTTATGCACTTAACCATGATGATTTAAAACAAGAAACCACAAGAAAAGAAGATTAAAAGTTACAAAAGCTTAAATAAACATGAATACTTTGACTACATATGTGCAGTATAATTTGAAAAAAGCCCAAGCAATGTGTAAGATTCAACTATGACTTACTCTGCCACGTTCAACTTGTGTGGTCAACATTACAACCATAGAGGAGCCTTGTTCCCAAGTCATCTGCCAAAAATCTGTACAAGTGTGTGGTAATGGCCCTTGACAAGCAATGTACTGATTTATAATGCTGGAAGAAGGAATTTCCATCTAGAAAGAAAAGGGCACGAAAATAAAATGTTTTGCATTACTTATCAGGAATATGAAAATCATCCACTGACTATTATAGTAAATATAACTAATCTCAATAAACTGCCGTCAGTAAAACAAATCTTTATCAATTTCTTATTTGTAGAAGAAATTTCATGGCGATGGTCAATAGTTACATATATTTATCTTTTAATTAGTGGAAATAAGAATTTAAATACTTTGCAAATATTTTTCTGGGCCCAAGTGATCCTCTTGCCTTGGCCTCCCAAAGTGCTGAGATTACAGGTGTGAACTACACCCAGCCTATTATGATTTTAAAAGTAGCTTAACACAGAATTCTGTTTCAGAGGCAGAGACATGGTAAAGAAATACAAAATATTTATCTGTAAATAGTTTATTGGTAAAATCTGTGAAGAACAAAAATTCTGCCACTTGTTTTAGCTTGAATTTTTACATGTAAAATAACTTTAGAGGTTATTAGAAGTACATTTCAAGTTCATAATTTTTAGAAAGAGGTAAGATAGTATTTGGGAAAGATGAGTCATCAGTCATCCTACTACATTTTGAGATTAACTTTTTTTAAAAGGTGATATATGCACATGATAATTCAAAGAAAAACAAAGAGTGAATGAAGAAAGTCTATTCTCCCATTTCAGCTACTTTTGTTTACACCCAGGAAGGTAATTTTTTTCTCTGTTTGTCATATAGCCTTCTCAGAGACATTCTATACACAATACACAGCGTATATGCAAAACTAACTTCCCACTTTTCTGTAAAACTGTTTTTAAAAAATGGTAGCATACTATGCATTATGTTGTTCTGCTTATTTCTCTTTTTTACTTGATTTTTGAGATCATGTTTGATTAGTACATAAAATTTTACCCTTTTAAATGGCTCTACTATATAAATATACAACAAAATATTTAATACAGATTTAAGACCTTGATAATCTATATGCTGGCAGTTAACAAGGCTAAACTGAATATTTTTGTAAACCTAACATTTTTGTGCAATGTAGAAATATATTTCTCTTTATACAAAAATACAGGCCTTATTTAAAAAAGGTCTTATCAGAGGTATATTCTTAAGTAGCAAATCCTCCAACAAGGATTCTCTATTTGCAAATTTGACTACTTGTTAAAATTTATTCATAACCCTCAAAACAGGAAGAAATGGCAATGCTAAATCAAAATGTATGTGCATTAAAAATTTTGATATACAATGCCAAGTTGCTCTCCGAAGAGGTTCTACCAATAAATACTTCCACCAATAATGTATGAAGAGTGTTTATTCTCTATACTCTCATTAATATATCCATAATTCCTCATCCACAGTTCTGAAACTCCCAATGCTGTGAAATGCATGTTTTTTATTTTTGTAATCTTGCCCCAACCTGTGCTCATTTGACAGCAAATCTGACCTGAACTGACCTAAGATTATTTGTACTCTTTATTAGTCTTACTTAGGGAGAATATATTATAGCTTGCTGTTAACTATTCAGACATATTGATTACAGGGCACATGTCTCATAGACTGCCAGTCATGTTACTTATGATAGTATATGGTATATGTACCAAATAACCTTTCAAAATTCCAAAAATTTGGAATCCCAAAGAATATTTTTCTATATTCTCCCACTCAATGCCCCTTTATGTGGAGAATGAGGTGTTCCTATGTTGCCTAGGCAGGTCTCAAACTCCTTGGCTGAAGCTGTCCCCAGCCTACGTCTCTCTTAAGTGCTAGGATTACAGGCATGAGCTCCTACTATGCCTGGCCCCAAAGCACATTTAATTGAAGGTTTCACATAAAGAATGTGGACCTACATGTAGGTAATATCAAACTTTTGCTCTTTCAATCTCATAGGTGAAATAGTAATTCCTTATAGTTTTCATTTGCAGTTTTCTTTTTTGTAAATTGCATGTATTTTTCATTTAACTCTGTTTGATATAATTTTTCTAAGTGTTATAACAGTATTGTGGTTTTGCTACCAAAATAAAAGCCCTTAGAAGAGTTATATTCTTAAGTAGCTAATACTCCATCAAGGAGTCTCTATTTGCAAATTTGACTACTTGCTAAAATTAATTCATAACCCTCAAAACAGTTGCAGGGACTTCTTGGTCATCTAGTAGACATTCTCAGAACAGTGAAAAATTTGAGTCAGCTGAAGATATGCACATTTCCAGGTGAGATGAAACGAAGCAACTTGACATTTTGTTTTAGCTCTCATACTGAAAACAAGTGGCCTTTTTGCATTCTATGTAGTGCCATATTTTTCACCTTTTTGATTTTTTTACTGGTGATTTTGCTGTTTAAAAATGGCCCCCACCTATGGTTTTAAAGTGCTGACTAGTGTTTCTAAGTGCAAGAAGGATGTGATATACCTCATGGAGAAACTATGTGTGTTAGATAAGCTTCCTTGAGGCATGAGTTACAGTGTTGTTGACTCTGAGTTCAAGGTTAATGAATCAGCAATATATATTAAGTAAAGTGTCTTTAAACAGAAACAACACTATGCATTAATCAGTTGACGAAAATGTTGTGACTTTAGGCCAGGGGGAATTTAACCCTGTATTTTCCCTAGAAGCAATGATTAAATATTCACTAATTTAGCATGTACAAAGACTTTCTAGAGCATGACAACATCGAATGGTGAGAATTAATTCCATTTATAAATACAGTGATATATGTGAGCTTAAAAATAATTTGGAGGTTATTACTTAGCTGAAACAAGATTGGCCACTGGTTGATAGCTCTTGAAGCTAGGTAAGAGGTATGGAGGGACTCATACTATTCTCTCTACTTTTGTATAGATTTAAAAATGACTATTAGAAATGTCATCTGCATAATTTCCTCTTCTA